AGGGAGGAGGAGTGCAGGGTTTGAGTGCCGATGGCTTGGGCGGGAGATGGAGAGAAGAAAGTTGTATCTCTTATTTAAGGTGCTGAGATTGCTCGCTGCACTCAGGAGGAGCGTGGGGGTCTCCTTTGCTTACAGGCTAGGAGATGTTTGCCTGGGAGATTGTTAAAATCAGGTTTATCAGTGGGAGGCAAAGGCTGACAGCGTATTTCTTGCCATCCCTCGTCCAGCCTTTCCTGGGACTAAAAGCTCTGACTCAGGGCTTTGGGCAATGGCAGAGGATGCTTGGAGCAGAGGATGCTCTGCACCTCGGAGCTGCAGCTCCCAGCACCATAGCTCTGTTCCCATGTGCAGAGGCAGCTCGGTTTTGCTTGCAGCTTCCAGAAATGCTGCAGTCCATAAATTCAGACCTGGGAAAAACTTGAGGAGCCACTCTGCCAAACCCCAGGAACAGGCAGATGTTGCCTTGTCCCTTGGGGCTGGCAGAGAGTCATGTGCAGGGTCAGGCCCACCCAACCCTGGCAAAGCCATCCTTTGCCAGGTTTGCCGCGTGTATCTTAGCCAAGGACACAGCCATCACGGTGCGGGGTGCTGAGCTGGGCAGGCTCTGCCTGAACCGCAGGCATTGGGAGTGGGAAAGCCATCCTTGAGGCTCAGTGAGCTCTCCTACTCCATCTCCTTCATGTTTGCCTCCGTCTCCCCCTCGCTCCAGCACCAGGACGATGAAGTCGTACCAGAAGCTGACGCAGCCATCAGCATGCCAGCTGGAGGAGGAAGGCGCTGCCCCAGCACCCACCGGCCATGGGAAGCTGGCCCCATGCTGGGTGGGCAGCGGGTTGCTGGTGGCTGCTGTGCTGCTGAGTGCCATCACTGTCTGGGTGCTGCAGCAAGTATCGGTGGGCTGGCCCCGACCCACGCTGCCCCCCAAATGTCTCCTGGTGCCTGAAAGTCACCGCTTTGACTGCTACCCGGAGCGGCGCGTGGTGGTGACACAGGAGCTCTGTGAAAGCCGGGGGTGCTGCTTCATTGAGAGCCCACCGCCGGCGGGGGGCAAGCGAGGGGTGCCCTGGTGCTTCTACCCCCCCGACTTCCCCAGCTACACCCTGGAGAGCCTCAACCAGACAGCGCTGGGCATGGTGGGGTTGCTGGTGCGGAGGGAGAAGGCCTATTACCCCCGGGACATCGAGATGCTGAGGCTGGATGTGGAGTTTGAGACGGACATGCGGCTGCACATCAAGGTGAGCTTCCTGCTGGCCGCTCTCCCGCATCTCTCCATTCCATAGGTGACCCTGCTCAGACCGATATCACAGTATCTGCAACATACTGTGCTCCAGACATGGCTGTACATGGCCAATGAGCATCTCCAACCCTTTGTCCTCTTGCTTTGCTGGTCTTTAAAGCACATTTTCTCCATTTTGCAGATAACGGATGCGGCCAACCCGCGGTACGAGGTTCCTCTCGAGGTTCCCCGGGCAAAGAAGAAAGCAGAAAATCCCCTCTACAGTCTGGACTTCTCCTGGGATCCCTTTGGGGTGCTGCTGCGGCGCAGAGCGACAGGGATGGTGCTGTAAGAACCCATCTCTTCCACATCCCACAATGGGTGGGGGGAAGCTCATCCCACCATAGACAGGTTCCAGCATCATTCCCAGAAGTTTTTCCTTAGGAAAAACCACACTGCGAGATCTCCAGCCAATAATTACTCTTTGTCTTCATCTTTCTGCACAGCATGTGGCTTCTGTCCCCACAGGCTGGCCTATGTGCTTGCTGTGGCAGGACTGGGTGGTATCAGCATCCGTTCAAAAACCTCCCAATGCCCTAATTCCTCCTCATATCCTACAGCAGACCTTGTGCAGGTCACAGCACATCACGAGTAAGGGAGCTGGTGGCTCAGGGAAAGGGCCACAAGAGGGTTGTGGCTTTGCCTGTTTCACCCTGCTTTTGGGTTTCCCTGGCTGTCCACGCTATAGGGACACACACAGCTCCAGGCTTTTTGTGGACAAGGACTGCTTTGCTGTACTGCTCAGTCACCTCCAAAGCTTTGCCCACACTAGGCTGTTGGTGAGCACCAACGGCTGGTCGATGTATGGCCAGGCTGTTTTGGAATCCCATCCTCTCCTCCTTCTTCCTGTTTGCTGGTGCCTGTGGTCCATCCTTGAGAGCTGCTTATCAGTGACAGCAGGCTGAGAAACCCCACCAGCATATCTCCTTGATGGTTAATAATAACCTGGGTGGAAAATTCTGGTGTCAAAGGAAAAGCTGTGCCATGCTCGGACAGGCTGGTTCAGGCTCGGGGTGTGCCTCATGTCCAGCCAGACCCAAATTTGCTGCCTGGGCCAATATGTTGGGGCTGGATGTGAGGTGGGACATACACTGCTGCACTGACCGTTGGGATGCTTCAAGAGTGAAGGGGTCAATTGTTGATGGGCAAGTGGATCCCAATGGATCCCAGCATCCCCTCTTAGAATCATAAATCAACTAGGCTGGAAAAGA